TTATTACTCAACTTGAGGGCGCTCTGCAACTTCACTACTGAAGTGGCATCGCCCTTGGCCATTGCCTCATTGAAGTTGAGTTATAATACGAAAGATGAGTAATTCTGCTCAAAATTAGGTAGCCCACAGTTACTTTTACATTTGAAGACGTGAACATTTCCAATGTTAAATTTAATTTTTTTTTTTAAAAAAATGGGGCATAAACAACCTTTAAATAAGTCCGAGAATTGATGCAAAAAGAGTAAAGAGACAAGGCTTAAGAGATAGAATCAGAATTTAAGCTGAAAATCGAAAAATAGACGAATCAACCGACTCCTTTGTTGTCGATTTTTCAGATTTTCACAAGGTAATTGAGACCAAATCCTATCCAAACTCTCAGTTTACTAGTTGGACCAATCGGTTCGATCTGATTCTTATAACGGTAGTCTTACGGGATAATCCTAAATATGATAGTTGCTATTTTGATAATTCGAATCAAATTCATCACTCTAGAATTTGATTATGAAGTTTTCCCACAAATTAGTATCTAAATAGTGTTTGATGAACCAACCTGGGTATTAATTCAAAAATTAAATAAAGAAATAAAGATTATATTGTTGTGTATCTCTATTTAGTTTTAAATTTGAAAGAGCATCATTTAAGTTGTGCAGTTTGATATAACGAGTGATCTTGAAAAAAATCAACAGGTTCACAAATTTAAGGGAAAACTACAACGGAGGTCCCAAACCTTTCATTTTTTTGCAGAGTATACCTTAACATTTCATTTTTGAGGCCACAATCCCAAAACTTTCACTTTAATTGCAATCGGGGTCCAAATGATCAATTCCATTTAGAATGTCGTTAGTCAACACCGAAATTGGAATTTTGATTCAAATGAGGGGTAAAATGGTAAATAAACATTTTCTATAGTAAAACAATTCAAATAATTATATAAAAATCAACAAAACACCAACAACTTCTTCTTCTCCAAACATCTCACTCCCCACCCCCAAAATCAAAAACAAAAACAAAAACCAAACACAATCACTCCGACCACTGCAAACCCATCACCTCCACTACAGTACCGCCCGACCATCATCGCCACTACCACACTGCAATGTATCGTACCTCACCAAGAACCCAATGCCAAATGAAATTAAGAATTGTATCAAAGCCGAAGAAAGGGTGTTCGTTGGAAGATCTGCCTTCAATCCCAAATCATGGGGTTAAATCGGTCATATCGAAAAAGAAGCTAACTTGCCTTGCCTGCTTCTCCATTAGCTCTCCTAAAGGTGGTATTGTCAACAGGCAGCTACTCATCAGCTTTGAGAAAAAAATTTAAGACCAAAAGCATAGGCGGAGCTGAATTACCAAAATAACTGAGTTTTGTGGGGAAAAAATTGAGCAAAAATTAATTGCTCTCTAGTAAGCATATTGTTAAGACATACACAAAATTAACTTTGTGGGTGATTGCATTGACGATGGCTGCAGTGGGCGATGTAGCATTGTGCGTATTGGGGGCGGTGTGGCATCGTGTGTATTGGAGGAGGTGGTCGGTGGTGATTGGTTTGGTGATTTTTTGTTTTAGGTTGGGATGGGATGGGTGGATGTTTGGAGAAGATGAAGTTGTTTGTGATGTCTAGAGAAGATGAAGTTAGTATAGAAAATGTTCATTCACCATTTTAACCTTAACTTAATTTGCCAATTTGAGTCAAAATTCCAGTTTCCGTGTTGGCTAACAACATTCTAGACGAAATCTATGATTTGGACTCCGGTTGCCGTTGAAGCGAAAGGTTTGGGACTGTGGGCTCAAAAATGAAAGGTTAAGGTATACTCTGCAACAAAATGAAAGATTTGGGACCTTTGCTACAATTTTTCCCAAATTTAATTAACTTCTAACATCATTAAATAATGTCGTGGATTAAGGTATTGACTTCTTGGATAAAAAACCAATGGGAAGACTTGACTTAAACCTCACCCCTTCAACTGATGTTTATTTTCCAGGAAAGATTCTCCAAAACATGAAGTACTTTGGATAAAATTATGAGTAAATTTTTAGGATGGATGATGTTGGATATCACAAAATTATATTCATCATGACTTTGAGACATGGAACATCTTCAAACTTATTTTATTGCAGTTCTCTAATTTGAAGAAATTCTTTTCTTGAATTATAGACAGTTTTTCCTTAATAAATTGTTCTGAATAATGAGCCATGAGAAAATAAATATGACATACTTGTTAAATATATGAGTTCTACTAATGACTTGGAAAAGGGTTTGGACTTTTTTTGTAACAAAAACAAAAAATCAAGACTTGATTACATCATCTCATTAATTTCTAGTTTCTATTCATGGAATAGATTCTTACTAAAATTTGCAGTTGACTTCCAAATTATAAGTTTACACGATAATTTTATATATCGTATTACTAGTAATGTCATATGAATCAAAATCATTGAACGATAAGTTCGTTATAAAATTTTGGCACGAATTAGTATCTTAAGTTATGTTCAATAAGCACTAGCATTGATGCGAAAAAAGTAAAGAGAACATACTCAAAAGATTGCATCAGCATAAAAGTTGTGGTCAAAAAATTAAATAAACAAAAAAGTGATTTTATATTTTTTAACAAAATAGAATTTGAATAACTGATAAAATTAAAAATAGATGATAAGGCCGATTCCTTGATTTTTTTAATCGATTTTTATAATTTTCAATTTTCGCAAAATGTTACTAAGACTAGTTTCTTTCAATTCTTGTTTTACAGGTTGAACCAATATGTTTGATCCAATTTTTATAGCAGATGTCTTAATTGAGTAACTATAATGCATAAATTTATCATACACCATTAATGAAAATTGACATGATTTTTGTTATCTTAATTATCGAAGAACTGTCAACAATGCTACATACTATTATATATCTTCAAATTTTCTTGGTGGAACCAATTGTTTCGATCCAATTCTTATAATCTTATAACAGTGGCCTTAACTGAAACAACACTAGAAAGATTATCCATTCATAATGTATGGAAATTGGAATGGTTTCTTTTGTAAATATTTATGGAGATAAAGGTCTTTAGCAATGTTGTATGCCATGATATCTCATTAATTTTTGTTTTGTTCCTCTAGCTAGCTTTAAATTTGAAAGAGTTCTATATAAATATTTGCAATTTTGTATAAATTTTTTGACAAGATTCGGTGCTTACATATAGCTTCTTTAACTTCACTTCACATGTTTTCTCAATTGACGTCTCTCCAAATATTCACTTTTTCCTTTATCATTACTGGGCATCATGAATCACATGAAGAGTTTGCAACAAAGAAAAGTTTAGAGTTCAGTTTCAACACAAAACTTAAATGATCAGTTTTTAATTTTCCAATGTAGAGATTTGATTCTTAAAAGTAAAGAGTAATCACATATTGAAAAATAGAGGAAGAAGACGGAGAGAGTAGCGAGAGAGGTTCTGAATATTTGTTTCTATTCTATTTTGAGGATAAAAGCTGGCTAATAGAGGTTCACAACTTCAAACTGGTAACGTAACCTAGTTAATTAATGAAGAAAAGAAATTTCGATGCAAGTGTGTACACAAGAGTGTATTTTTTCAATTTTACCAGTAGCATTTCCAAATTAAGAACATTATTCCATCCATCCATTAATATTACTCACCTTGAGGGCGCTCTGCAACTTCACTTCTGAAGTAGCATCGCCCTTGGCCATTGCCTCATCGAAGTTGAGTTATAATACGAAAGATGAGTAATTCTGCTCAAAATTAGGTAGCCCATAGTTACTTTTACATTTGAAGACGTGAACATTTCCAATGTTAATTTTGGGCTATGTTTTACCTTTTCCTATAAAAAACCTCACTAAAACCTCGGTACGGGGCCATAAACAATCACATTCTTCACAGGCTGGTCCTGGCCAACCCAAGTGCAATTGTCCGTATGCCTAATTGTCTTCAAATACTGTTGCTGGTTCAGTCTACCGAGCAACCCAAGGGCAACGTGGCTGCAATGTTCATTCTCATAAAAACAAGTAGTTCTTCCATGAGCTCAGGAATGATAGGCCATGAACTAGAGGCTGGTAAGTAATTTGGAAGTTTCAGAGGGATTCTTACAATACCATTCCAGTAAGTAATGTTTCAGTACAATGTTTAAACAGGAGCCAAAAAAAATCTTGCTTTAACATCCATTGTCTTTCATATATTAGGTTTTCAGCAGCACAAGTTTCTCGCACAAGCATTATGCTTTGTACTCTTATTTACACATTGGACTCTGAATCTAGGAGGGTGAATGAAAAGCAAAAAGAGTCGAAAAAGAAACATCCACTCAACTTGACATATACACCAAAATTCAGAGTTGCCTGCAGTAATAAAACTAATTAGCTAAATTACAAGGCAATAAATATATATACGCTTGAAGTATTCTTATTCTCAACAGAATTCAGGAACAATGTTAATTAAGTGAAATCCTCACTAAAGAAAATTAGTGTTGTATACTAAGAACTTTTATGCAAGAAGAATAAGACAAAGTTAGGGAAATGCCTCAAATGATTATGAGATGCTGATGAAAGGATAAAAACTTGAAATGTTTACAGAAAAGTGAAAAGGGAGGAATCCTTTGACAAGGATAATAATAGTTTTGCTCTAATTTTTTGAGATGCTCTAGAAAAGGTTGATGTTATGAGATTGATATCCTAATGTCTGAATTCAGGCATGGATTCCCAGCTGGACATCGTGCATGAAAATTGTAGAGACTTAGTAAAAATCTTAGGACTTGGTAAAAATCTCAGTGGCTTTAGATTTTTTTAACTTTTAATCCAACAAAGAAGGAAACAGGTCCTTTTGCTTTTCTTTTAGAAATAAGGAACAATTAAGAATTGGTATCCCTTTTTTATAGTGGGTTGCCAAAGGGTTTTCGTATGTTGTCACATCATGGAAGTGCTTGTCAAATTATGCCAGCAGCTTTAGCTTACTTAGCTTTTCAGTTGACACCAAAAATTTGAGCCCTCTTGAGTATCCTAAAATTGTAGAAGCTTCTTATCTTGAAAGCTACTGCAGTCATCTTGATCACTCTTGCGATTCTTTACTAGCATCCCTTCTATAAATTTGACTTCAACACATGCAGATCAAAAGTTTAGAGTTGGTAGGTTTAGCAACCGGTGAAGGAAAAGAACCATTTATAATGAAGGATACAATTTGAGCAATACAAGTGGTGACAACTGCAAGAAGAGAAAGAGCAGAACCTAGAATGTTGAGCTGTAGAACAGTTACAGTTGCAATTCCAACACCTAGAAGCAGGACCATCCGAGAAAGCTTAATGCTTTGACTGCAAAATAAATGCAATATGGTAAAACAAAAGATATGGAAATTATTAGGAAAAAATCCACAGTTGGGAGGATGAAAGAAAATGTTAATTGTACAAAAGTAAGACCTACTCTAATCTAAAGGAATTTAGTGAGAAATTGCATATGTCCAATTAAAAGTTGCAAGTAAGAAAAATACATGAATGTCCAGTTCAGTCATGTACATTTTTTATAAGTCTAAGAGCCTCGCATTATGTTCTGCTAAGGTCATTATTTATTCATAGGAAATTCCAGCGATCATCCTTCGTCAGCAACCTACTAGTTCATTTAGGGGATGGTTGCTGTCATACATCTTTCAAGCACTATGCAGATCAAATGGCCAACGGACTCAGAAATGAAGATCCATTTGATGAAGCTTCCTAAAAAATCTAATGTGTGGTGAAGAAAAGGTTCCAAACTACACATATAAAATCTAACAAGTGGTGGAGAAAAAACTCCATAGTATATTTCATAATAATGATCAAGGAGCCAGCATAAACTACAAAAGTGATACAATATCTAGGAAGCAGATAGTCACAGATGCCAACTACTGTGCGCAGAAAGGGATCAAATGTGTGGTGATCCACCTGAAATTCTTGCTTAGGAGAAGCGTTTACAATAGTCCTGTACATGGGATGATTGCCAGCTTTGTCAGCCAGTAAAGTGAAACAATAAATCCTCAATTCGTAAACATCAGTGAGAAAGAGTTCAATGTTGGACATTGTAAGTAGATAGGAAAGAGATGCCTGATAGAAACCAACAGAATCGAATCCCAAGCTGAGGTTCAATAATCCAATTGAAATCCCATTCAGATTACTAAATCCAATTACAATTTGTGATTCTATTGGTTTGTGTTCGAAGAATTTCAACCGTAATGCCACATGAAGAGAACAGAAAGTCACCGATATATGCCAGCTGGTCAAAGTTGTAGCTGTAAAATGAAAATAATTGTATAAAAATCATCTTCTTCTTAATCTTTATCGTTTTTTAATAACATTTAGCTGTTTCCCAAAAGAAAACTTCAACAGAACAAATCAACGTCACAATGATGGACTTTTTCCTTTCTAAATCTAATTACAGCATCAAATTATGAGGTTAAGAAAAAATATAAACTTCTCCATCAGGAATTAGAAACTGGACTTCTTCCTTTCTATATATAATTACATCAAATTATGATGTTAGGAGAAAAATATAAACTGCTCTATTGGAAATTAAAAGCTGGAACAAATGAAGTAATATTCTTACTATTTATAGCATGTTCGGCATGCTCAACCGAGCATGCTCAGTTGAACGAATACTTTTAGTAACAAAAGCAATCAGCTAGGACTTATGCAGCTGCGTCACTTCGAGTTCAATAACAATACAATTCAAAATTTGACAAGAACCTCCTCTTCTAAAATAACAGCATGATTACAGGTCCTCAACTGGATTAAATTATACCAATTCCATCAATTCAGAAAGAATTTGCACCAAGGAATAAAAGTAATGTAATGACACATGAATTTTTTAAGCATAGACGCAATATACAGAGCAATTACAAGAACATTCAATTCATTATGGTACAAAAATATCATTTTTTAAACAAGGGAAATAAAATACCAAATGTAGAATATTAATGTCACATCTCTCATTTTTTTAGTCAAAGTCAAGGAAAAATATTTGGTCAAAGTCAAAGTCATTAAGGACTTAAGTTGAACAAATAACTTTTATGGGGCTTAAATTGAAATTTCGAGTAATTGAAGGTTAGGAAAGATATAATAAAGGAATCCAAGGATTTAGTTTCTATTATGGGAAAAGAAATGACTAAATGTAATATTGTCTGAAGAAGGTGGACTTTCCTTGCAATTATTTAATATTTACCCATTAAATAGCATTTATTTTATGTATTTTCTCATATATTTTGGGGAAAGAGAGAGAGAAGAGTCGAGAGAGACCAAGAGGAGGAGGAGTAGGAGGAAGAAGAAGAAGAAGAAGAAGAAGAAGAGGAGAAGAAGAAGAATTTTCAAGTTAGGGTTCTCAAATTCTTCAACTTCTCATTTGGTTTAGAATGGTAAGTATGAATTTATTGAATTAAATTTTTAAGGGTTATGGAAAACTTGCTTTAATTCAAAGTCTAGGAAGAAATATGTGTTATTGATATGTATTTGATGATTAAAATAAGTATATGTCAAAGAAATATGTGTTTGGAAATTAGTGTTGAAGAAAGTGGAAACTTTGGAAATGAGTTTGTGATATAAAGATATATTATTTGAAATTCTTGGAATTGTGTGACGCTAAAAACTTAAATTAAGGATTTGAGGTTGAAATTCTCCATTTTTTTTTAGCAGTTTTCGAGTTTTTGCAAAACAGGGGCTAGTTTTGAAATTCTGCCCAGAAAGGTGTTATTTCTGTCAATTTTTTGGTGACAGATTTCAATACTCAGAAATTGGTGCTGTTTTCAATATGTTGGAATTATAGTGCTAGTTTTGTCAATCATCTAATTTTGGTGGATTTTTAGTATTGGAACCAAATTAAGTGTTAAATATTTGACGTTTTGATGTTAAAATAATTTATATAAAGAAGTATATGTTGTTCATGACTCTAAATGGGATTATGAGATTGAAAATAAAATATGTGAAGTTTTCATTGGTAAATTATTATTTCTAATGGTAAGAAAATACTCAAGAAATGCTTGTGAAGGAATATGATTTATTATAGCGAGAGCATAATATCATACTCGGAATTTTAAAGTGATGAGGCAATGAGAATATCGAAACCATGATCGACTATAACTTTATGAGTGGATATAAAACTTATTTTTCAGAAATAAGTCTTCTTTAAATTTTAAAATTATTTATTTTATAAAGTTGATTTCATAGCATGATTTTCAGAATAAAATGGATTTTATTATCAATTGCTTTTAAAGTTAAATTCAGTTTAGTTAAATTATTTTAGTAGCATGTTATATTCTTATTACATGTTTCAGTTTAGTTAAATTATTTTAGTAGCATATTATATTCTTATTACATGTTTCAGTATAGTTAAGTTATTTCTAAAAACCACCAGAAAGTACCTAGGTGATTTTACCCCAATTTGCACTATGTGAATGTGTTTCCACAGTGTATGACTAGTTATAGTGATTTTACCCGCTCTGCACTATCGTGAATGTGTTTCTATAGTGTATGACCAGATTATCAGAGATCTTTGGGATCTACTCTCGTACACATATAGGCTTTGGGTCATGTACTAGGGTGATTAGCCTTTGGGGAAACTCTATGTACGTATGACCAGATTATCAGATTTGAATGGCTTTGCCTTGTACATCGAGATTACTCTGTACATAAGTAAGACTATTCATTGGGTACTCTTTATGGTGTGATTTTTCAGTATTTATTCAGTTCTCAGATTTCAGATTATGGAATTTAGTTAATTCAGTTTTCAAAATAAAGCTTTCAACTTATAGTATTGACTAGTAGCAATATTTCATAGATTTTCATGAATATCAGATTATTCGTTAACTTTACATCTACTTATCTAGAATTAAGAACAAAGAATTGTATGATGCAATCATGTTTTGGTTTTTAAAAGTGTTACCAGACTTCAGAATTTTTCAAAGATTTAATAAAGTTAGAATTTTCAAAAAATTTGTAGAACGGAAAAAGTAAGTTTATTCGCAAATTATCCACTCACCGAGCTATAAGCTCATATGTCTTTTCATCTTTTTCCTTATCAGATAGCAGCTGAATTGAACAGCTTTGGAGCTTGTTGTTCCGCCATATTGAGTCACGCGTCATAGGTTGTATGGCCTACTTTACCAGACTATGTAGTACATGTTTCTTTGTGTTATATGTAGTTTATGTCAGAAAAGGTTATCATGGGTTCACTGCATATTTGGCATCTTTAGTATATTTGAGAAATGTTGGTTGCTAATAAAGGAAATGTTGATTTGCCGACATTTTATTTGAATAGTTTGTATTTTGAGGAACTAGCGTATCCTATTTATATTATAGGTATTGATTTGAGGAAAATTAGTTGTTGTTCAGTGGTTTTAGTTCATATTTCAAGGGGAATTCTGTCAAAATTTTGTTAAAAATATTCTTCTGTCAAGCAAGTCAAGTTGCCTTGGTGGTGGGTCCGACGTTTACCTGATATCTACCATCGGCGCATGACACATGTCGAATCCATTAAGGTAATTCAGGACGGGTCGTGTCAATTAAAACTCACCAAAAATGAAATGTGAAGTGCTAATGAGTGGTTTATTGCATATCACAATAGAAACTGACGAAACGACTGACAGAGTCAAAGCCCCTATCATCCCCGATAGAAATCCTGTGTTCTAAGTCATCTTTCAGTTTTTCCCTAAACCAAAAATTCAATAATTCGATCAAATCATATAATTCTCAACAATAACAATTTGAACAAATTAAATCAAAATTTCCCACCTGTACGTCTGAATTTCAATTTTCTACAAAATCAGAACCAGCTGCGAATTATGTATCTCAGATTTGGAAAAATTAAGCAGTCCATCCACATTTGGTTTCACCAAAAATTCTCTATATAGGCATACGCTTAAATGAATTATAATATAAATATTTTAAGTCAATTTAACGTATTAATCATAATATAATTTATATCTTTCAGATGTAGAGGGGGGTTGTGATACCTTGCAAATTGCAATATTCTTGAGCCTACGAATTAATTTAAAATTCTATTTAAAAGGAAAAAAAAATGAGAAAATCGTTTAACCATAGAAACAAAAATTAAAAAAAATTTAAAATATCATTAAAGTGAAGTCTATTAGCCCAGAAATAGCAATGAAGTTTATTTTAAATTGTCAAAAAAGTCATTTTATTAATATTTTATAATGTTTCATATCAAGATTATTTAGAAGATAAATTGCAGTTTGATTGTCAATTAATGAACAAACTAATGAAATTTAAATTTAAAATTGAAGTTCAATAACTTTTAAAGCTAAAATTAAGTTTCGCAGTAATTTTCATTCAAAGTTCAATGATCACACATGAACTTTTCACACCAAGAAATGAAGTCATTGACTCAATTCACACACATCTTTCCAACAACAAATGAAGTCGACGATCCAACTATTCTCTATTATAACTATGAGCTCTAATTTCCGCTGACTTAGAACTTTCTACGTGTCTAATCAAAATTTTTGTACACAATAGTGATGATTTTAAAGTTATGAGGTCTTGTGGAAAATAGCTCAACGCCAAGATGATAAAAAGCTTAATTGACAAAATTCTTCATAAAAAATTGATTGCCATTTTAATCAGACAATAAAGTTTTCGACTTGCAACATCTGTTATGCAATTTTAGTAATTAAATTAGATTAATAGATGCCAATATATTTAGTTCGAGAAAAATAGATTCCACGAGGAATCAATATTTCAATAGTGATACGGTTGGTAAGTTCCCGAATCAGGGAATAAATCTACCAACTTCATATGATACTCATTTCATGTGAAACTTTCAAAGGAGAAAGAAAGAAAAAAAATCGAAATTATTCCTTAACATTCTACACATGGGCCTAAGTGGGAGCTAGTTACCAGCCACCTCAACAATAGAAATTCTCACTGTTCTCCTATTAGTACGTGTTATTGAATAGAACTAAACAAATATATAAAATTTTATCTTTTTTTCTCAATACTATCTAGTTTTATTAAGTCTTTTTAAAATGTACTGATGAATTTGTAGCGAAAGTACTTAAAATTGCCCTTTTTGAAATGTTTGTCCAAATTACAATTCAGCGGTGCGACATTGTAGTGATCCATCACTAGTGGTGACTTGAAACAAAAGGGCTTCACCTTTGAGATACGAGTTGCTCTGCCAATTTTGACCCCAATTTCTTGACATTTGTTGCCATCATGTTCTTGATCCTTTGGTCGACGCAAAATGGACACCTCCAGCACCACCAGGTTAGTGATCAACACTAGGTTGAAGTAGAAGTGCCCATTTATTGTAAACCTTATTCCTTCCTTCTTTGTGCAGGGGGCACTAAAAATTACCAACAAAAAATATATAAAATCGTGCAACTTTCAGGTCATTGATCTGAAAATTGAATATGATATTCATGTGAGACGACATGGTAAAGACAATCTTTTCTAAAAAAAGTAAGTTTTCTCTCGGCATGTTTGGCTAAGATTAAAATATTGACTTATAAGTGAATAAATAAATTTCGAAATAAGTAATTTAGTTATTTCGAAGTAATTTACTTACATAAAAGACAATTTTTAGTTAAGTAACTTTTTATTTAAGAAAAATAGAAAGTGATTGATAAGTGGATATGTTGTATTTTAGGAAATGTTGCTTGAATTTGTGCTTACTTAGTATGGTATAAAGAAGAAAATAATTAAAATTTTTGGTCAACTATCCAATATTGTGTATCATGATCGCTCTTGTATTAAAATGTCACCTTACCTTTGGAAAGATACGGGGACAATTCCAGCTCGATAGTGAGCAATTTGCAAGAATGCAGGCTTGGCCAAATCAAAATGTTGGAGGGGAGGATTGCACCACCCGCCATTGTTATTAGGCAGTGAAGGATTTGGTGGGACAAAAAATTTGTTTTTGTGAC